AGCATAAGAGTAAATTACTCAGTGTCTGTAATATGGTTTTGAAACAGGCTTGTCATAAACCACGGGCTTATTTAAAACAATATTTTTTCATAGTTCACCAAACCTGCTTCCTTCTACACTCAGCTCCTTTCTACTGTTCTTTGTGGAAGGAGGACAGCTTTGTACACCCACACGAGTGGGGCCCAAGGGCTCAGGGGACCATTCTGGGGACAGGTGTCACCACCATGTGGCATGGACATGTGTCCTCCAAGGAAGGTAGGCAACTAGAAGCTGAGCAGAAGGGGAGGGGCCACCCTGCTCCACCTCTTCAACTTTGGGCATTAATGTTCCCATGTCCCACAGCAGATGTCACCACTGCCCTGCAGGAGGGAGGGACACAAGGCAAGGCGACAGCTACCAGCTAGACCCCCTGAAAAATAGTGCTCCGGGACTTATGAAACTAGTGTCTAAGATTACCCATGTCACAAGGCCAGGACTACGTACAAGGGGTGATCAACATACACAGTGTGTGCTTAAAGTTTAAAAAGTCCTCACTTCAGACTCACTTATCCCATCACTCTTGCCGCTTTCGCAGGCAGCTCTGGAGGCTTCTTTTGTCTTTACAAGGTGTGATATAAAATATGGTGAATGCTGCTGCCGAGCGCCATTCAGTGGAAAAGCGGCTTGTATAAACATTACAGCGTGTCCTCATCCACCTTAGTCACTGGATCTGGCACCAGGCACCTTCTGGATCTTCCCCAAAGTCAAAATGACCACAAAAGGTAAACATTTTGACTCAGTTCGGGACATCAAGGCAGCCACAACAGCACAACCAAGACACTCATGAAAGAGGACTTCCAGAAGTGCTTTGGAAAGTGGCAAGAGCGATGGGTTAAATGTGTTCAAAGCAAGAGGGAACATTCTGAGGGGGTGAATGGCAATGCGTCTTTTACTGTAGTAATTTGGAATTTTAAATTTTTTAATCACACCTCATAGTAGCAACCTAATTAATTAGGGTTAGGAGGGCTCAGAGTTCCAGGTCCTATGGTGATGTGGGCAGTGTACATGTCCCCCAAAGAGAGACCCTGCTCAGCCCAGCAGGGAGCCCCAAGCAGCCCCTCCTCTTGGAGGGAAACACTCTGTGGAATCCTCACATATCGAGGTGTCTTCCCAAGGTGGAGGTGCTCCCGGCCCCTCTGTACTGAACAAGCCTTGCTTTCCTCCTGAAATCTTCATGATTATGCTATGAGCTGGTGCCAGACCCAGGTCCCTTTCCGAACCAGACCAAGACCATCCATCAGCAAAGAGGGCTCTATTCCAAGGTAGCCCACTCAGGGTATGGATTCCCTCCTTTGGAAGAACTTTATGGGGAACACACAGAAGCCACCACTGTGACCTGCAGCTCAGTGCTTCCAGTCTGACCCATCTGCCTCAACCTCTCCTTCAGCCTCACTTTAAAAACATCCAAATGTGACAACTTTCCCTAGACAGAAAGGGTTGCAAGGTCCTGGGTAGAATGTGTTGACTCTTATAGCCTGGAAATAAACAATTTTTTTTTTCCTTACCAGCTTTTACAGAACCTGAAAAGTCATAGAAGGTTTAAGAGGGATTGACGAGGTTGGAAATAAAAAGCCTATTTCTGCAAGATGCACACAGCTCCACTTGTCTCCTCCCATGCTGAGTTTTCCAGGCCAGCACCTGCCGCAGATCCCTCCCCTCTGGCGGGCCTGTGCCCTGGCTTTGTTATGTTATCACACAGAAGATAGCTCCGTTGTGGTCTTTGAAAATTGTTAACACACAAGAAACAGCAAGATCTCAGAATATTAAAAAGACACAGCGAGAGAGATGAAAATAAAACTAAGACGGCACTATTACTAAGACTGCCAAAAGCAAAACCAAAATGCTTGGAGACAAAGGTTTTCCAGCTGCATGCTGGAAGCCTGAGCAGCCCCACGGAGCTCACTGGGTGCCTCAAGATAAAGCCCCAGCCCCTACTTCCAACCACAACTGCTTTTTCTTTGCCTTGTCAATAGGCTTTAGACAGATTTTGTTGGAACAAAGCATTTTAGGGTTAAGGTGATGTTTAAAGCCCTTAGAGCTATAGCTGCCTGGAGGATTCGCTCTTCTCCATGAAGTCTGAGGTCTGCAAGAGTAAAGGAGCTTCTGGCGCCCAGGAAGACTTAACGTTCTGACCTTTCCCAGGGCCCTGCTCTCTGTGGCAATGCCTTCTGACATCAGTCTCTATGCTCCACCTTTGCCTAAGCTCAGACTTCCTGGAAACTCCTGTTAACCTGCCCAGACCGACCCGCTCCTCCTTCTCTATGAGGCTTCCAGAATCTCACCTGGCTTCGTTATCAGCAGGAGACCCCTGACTTCACCCGTGTCCCCTTACCCTGGCTCCCATCACGCTCTTAGGCAACTTCTGACTTTGATGTTTGTCACTCCAGTAGAGATAGGGACCCTCGATTCAATGCTGCCTCCCCGGTGGCTAATTCAGAGCCTGCCACATGGACGATCAAAAACATATACTCTATTTTCAGCTCCTGTATGTGTGGTGGGTAATGGAATTCAGCCACACACCTGCAGCCCGGTTCCCGGAATACATTTGGGATGGCCAGGAATGTGACAGGGTGGGGGCTGAGGGAGATAACTCGCCTTAAATTTCATCTTCAAGTTAAAGAAATCTATGATCTGTTCAAGTCAAGAAAAGTTGTTTAAATGTAAACATGCATTCTCAGAGTCTGGGAGCAGAGTTAGATGAAATTCCCCAAGTGATCTCTTAATACCACCAAAATTGCACTCAAATGCCTCTGCCAGGCAAAGATAAATTGCCACTTGCACAATGGCCTTGCACTTAAAAGTAACTCGGTCCGGAAAGCTTTGAAAATTTATTACAACAGGGGAAAGGGAAAACTTAAAGCGGTTCAAGATATTTAGTCTGCTGATAAGACAGCTTAGGAGGGACAATAATTATCTGCAAGAATTTGAAGGGTCATTAAGAGGATGCAAGTCGGCTGGGCGCCATCAACTCGGATGTCAGAAATTAACTTAAGTGATACCAAAATGAGTTAGAGGCAGAAGCACAGAAAGTCAATAGTGATGTAGGTCCTCACTATACAAAGGAAGCATCAGTAGGGAGCTTTCAGAGATGTAGACTGAGGGGCAGCCTGCAGCAGCCAAACCAGAGCTGTCCCTTAACCAGCCAGCCCCTGGGGCTTGTGTGCATATTCAGGTCCAGGAAGCAGAGCTCTCCACCTCGCCTTCTTGTTTTACAGGTAAAGAAACCGAAGATCACAGGAGCCAGGGAACCTGCGCAAGCAATGGCAGCTGGTCCATGGAGGGAGCAGAGTCACAACCGCTGTCACCTGTAATCCAGTCTCCAAGGGACACTCCAGTGGCTCCCCCCTTTCCTGACTGGCCTGCAGCAGAAATGAAGCCTGTGTTCTGTCCTCAAAGCCACAGCACCACCTTCAGTCCCATGGGCCGGGCCCGGGTCTTGCAGCCATGGAGACTCAGGCCAGAAGCATGAATTCCCAGCACCAACAGGGCCCAGGCAGCAGGCTAAAGAGGCTGGCAGCCCTTCTGCCCCCACACGCCATCTAGAAACGGGAGACAGCAGCGGGTGCTGTCCGTGCTGGAACCACTGGGCTCTGGACACGCCTTCCCGTAACAGATAATGCCTAATGGCTAAGCTCTTTGGCAGACAGCTTCGAGAAAAGAACACCTAGGGTTTTCAAACGCAGTTGTCTGGTCCACACACTTCAAACTCCAGTTGTATCTAAACCCATGTTATAACTGCCCTTGCACAAGAGTCACAGCTAAAGCTCAGCCATTTCCCAATGCATGGAGACAGGTTGTCGGGGCTACAGAGGGGCCCTGCGTGAGTGGTCCTAAGCCAGGCTGGCCTGCTGTGCTTCCCAGACTGCCACCCCACAGTGTGGGAAAGGAAGGGTGCTTTTTGGCTCCTGGAGCTACAGAACCAGGGCTAAGCCCTAGGAAATAACAGCAGTGCTATGCTCCCTCTGGGCGGGCATTGCGCTTCCTGGCACCCAGGGATCTAAGTGGGCAGCATATGTATATTTGGTGGTATTTGTCTGCAAGCAGTCTCCCTTCCAAAGACCCCAGCCAGAACAAAGCCTGGCTCAGGGCAGATTGAGGAAAAGTGGGGCTGTGGGACCTATCCGAGAGGGAGATCCCAAGGGAGTGGGGAGTGGTTGGACAGAGAGGTGCAGACATCAGTAAGTCACCATGTCAGCCATCACGCTCCCCAAATGTGCAGAGTCCACTCATGCCAGACTTGCAAGAAAGGAGCCATAGACCCAGCTGAACAGCTGGCAAAACAGTAAAAAGCAACAAGGCAAAGAGAAGTCTCCCCCAGGACCCATGACCACGCCCATTCCCAACCTCCCACCAGTCCAACCAGAAAGCACAGAATACAGAGCTGATCCTCTGCTAGTCACTGTTCAAAGGAGACTGAAATTGCCAGCATAACGTGATTTTAAAAAAAAATAAAGCATTAAGAAGACAGCTGATGCATTACCCCGATCAGATCAAACATCTGGAAGTTTGCCACAGTGTACAAAGATACGGTGTATCCCAGGCTTTTCAAAGATATGGGATCTTGTGAATGCGGCCCACAAGCATAACTTTTTTCCCTTTCAGGAACCCAACCTACATGCTTGCATTTCTCTCTTGAGCTACAGCTGCAAACGCAAAATGCATTTAATCCATCCAGCAGTGCTGCTCTGCCAATAGTAGCACAGAAGGTACTAAAAGGGAGTCATTTCCACGGCGGGCTTCAAAGGAGGCTGAGAGTGACGGGGCTCAGCCTTTTCATCCTGCTGGCTGTTCTCAGTAAATGCCACTCCTGACATTTGATCTGTCTGTCCTGGGGACTCGATACTGCTGCAATGGACTAGATGTCACCGGACCCACGCAGAGCTCCTTTCTACTGCTCGATGCTTCCTCCCCACACTGGCCCTGCTCTCCAAGAGCAGCCTACAGTTCAATCATTTTCTTACCGGAAAGCTGTGAGCTTGGAAACTGGAACCTGCGTGGAATTCCACAGAAGAAAAGCAGGACTTCAGCTCAGCCACAGGCTCAGGTCCTCCTCCTGCTCTAGTCACGTCTCCAGCAGATGAAAAGTCCCAGAAAGACCCCTGGAATCTGGCTGTCCTTTAGCGCAACTTCCAGAGGGAAGAAGCAAAGGCTCCTTCTGATCTATTAAGGGAAAAGAGAATGAAGAGCTAAGGTTACAGCATGTGAGACTGGTAGAAATGCACACATGTGCACATACACTATGGGAGGAAACAGTTAACTAGAAGACCAGGTACCTTATAACTGCACTATCCCAGCTTCCATGGTGTTACCTACTAGATTTCTACCAGACAGAACCCGCAAATACAGACCTCTAGGAGTCTTTCACATCCAGTTAGGACCAAAAAAACTGCGATCAAGCGTGTTGTTCAGGGTCTCCCACTTGGGCTAGCCTCAACATAAAGGACTGTGCTTCCTCCTTCAGGACAATGGCCACTCTGAGACTCCCATACGCCCCTGCCTGGTATGTTAACCCACACTTCATTTTGGACAAGTGAGCTTTGGAGGCTGCTCTGTGATAACTCCCATGAGCACCTCAGCCTCAGCCAGACAAGGAAGTTTCCAGAAAGACCTTGCCTTCTTCTAAGAGAAAGATCCAAAGGAACGGTTGTCTGAAGGCTGTGGTAATACTTTGAAAGTGACTTACTTTTTTCCCCTCCAAGGGGTACAGGCAGGAAAGACAGCTGACTGATTTGCTATACATCAAAATTCTTCCATTTATCTTTAAGGGAGAACGTTTTGGGCACTGTGATCAATTTCAGCATCTTCACCACTCCATCCACAGGTTCTCGGATGTGAACTTTGGCAGAGATGGAGATGGAGTCCCTACTGAAGAGTGAGCAAGTTAGAAGAGAGGGCAGAGGGCTGGCGGGCGCAGTTCAAGAGAAATGCACAGCTGTCCTTAAAACACACCCACTCCTGGCCTGGCCGTAGGAGACGGCCCCGTGCTCGGCACTGGGTCAACAGCTTTACAGTGTGTCCATGGATTCTCCCAGCAGTGGTGCGAGGTGGGCTGTCCCACCCCATCTTACTCACACAGAAGCAGCCTCCAGAGTTTAACTGACATATATTTTTAATCTCCACAGGCCTGCCTCAGCCACACACAGAACTTCTCCACTGCGGCTTAAAACAGAAGATGCACAAGGAGAAAGATCCCCTCCAGTGTCATTTCTCACTAGAAGGAGATGTGTCACTTGGTGCACAGATTACCCAGCCCAGGTTTTCTCACTGTTTCCAAGTAACCAACGTGAACAACTCTACGGGGCCCACAAGGAGCCTCTGGGAGCTGCTTTAAGGCATTTTGCACTTTATAGGAAACCATAAGGACCAGAAAACAGCATGGCTGCTTTTGCAATTGCATTCAAGCACACAATTGTAAATTTGTTCCATTAGATTTCTTCTCCATTTGTGTTATTCACCATGTAATTAATATATCCCCCAACAGCACATTTATTAAATTGTTCAATAAGACAGAGCACATGACCCTATGTCCTACACAGAAATGTCTGGTATTGTCTCACTGCCCCGGTCAGAGACTCGAGGCTCACGCCTTCAGCAGCCCTGAAGGGTCCCTGTAGTGTCACAGAAAAGCCAGGGAAGCCCCGGGTCACACCGGGAGGTGCTGCCCAGCCTGCTGAGGGCTGGGGAGGGAGGACAGGGCACGAACCACAGCCTCTGGCGGGCCTCCTGAGTGGTTGGTGATGCCAGGGGACGGAATACTGGAATACCGAGACGCCCGCAGACTGTCAGTACCTTCCACCTTCCCAGCGCGCCAATGCCCCGCCTCCCGGGGACAGCGAGTGACTCCACAGACCCAGGGCCACAGACCCGCGTGGAGGAAGTGGCTGGGAGCTGTCCATGGTGGCGCAGCGCCTGGCACGCAGAGAGCCGCCGGCTCCCGCCCCGGGCGCGCCGGGAAAGCGCTCCAGACCGCGGCGGTGGAGAGACTGCCGGGCTCCCGGCTCATGATGGGGTTGAGCCAGGCGCTGGCGCACACTTCAAATGTTTAGCTTGGAAAGGGATCCTTACCTGCGCAGCGCTGCTCAGGGCGCAGGACTTCGAGCCTCGAGCTTTGGGGCCCGTGGCTGGTGCGCCCGGGACCCTCCTCGCCTCAAGCCGGTCCACTCCACGGCGTCTCAGGCTTCGTTCCCCGGGCGGCGAGCTGGAGCTCAGCCCGACCCTGGCTGCACCCCGCCGGGACGCTGTCCTTCCGCTTCACCCGAGGCCACCCTCCTGCGCCGACCTGTCCCTGCCAGTGATCTTCGAGTCTTCCGGGTGCTGGCAGGCTCAGGGTGGCAGCCCCAGTACCAGCAGGGTCCCCGATGCCACCAACGTCCTGAGGTCCTGTGATGCCCGCGCGGCGCGGGGAGGCGGAGGGGACGCGCGGAGCCCGAGCGGGTCGCAGACCTGTTGCAGCCGCGCGCCCGTGCGCACCCGAAGTCCCACGCTGGGCTCGGGCGGGCCGGACCTGGACCTCCTTCCGAAGGGGACGGAGCAGGCAAAGCCCCCTCCCCGGAGGGGTGCGAGCCGCTGGAGACTCGGCGCCCCGACACCTGCCTCGCACACCGGATCCCCGGTTCAGGGAGACCCGCCAAGGTCGGCGGCAGACTCACGGACACACGGACTGCACGATACTGGGGGCTAATAGGAGCCGTGCGAGGGAAGCGGGACACCCCACCCGCCCCCGCACCCCTAGCCCGCTTACCTCCGGGGCGGCGGCCAAGGTAGTACGGTGCCTCGCGGGAGCACGCGCAGAGATCGGCGTGGCAGGCGCAGCGAAGTCGGCCTGGAGAGCTGGGTTCGGACCCCGGCTTCGGCGGCGCCGCGGTCCCTGGGCTCCCGCTCGGCTAGCGCTCTCGGAGGCCAGCCGGGACTCGGCTTTTATGGCAGCACGGCTGGCTGGCCCCGCCCCGGTCCCGCCCCCGGCGCCCCTCCAGGAAACCCGCAGTACCCCAGGCCGCCGGGAGAGGGCGCTGGAGCCCAAAGGAGGGGCGAACCGCCTGCCTCGGCCGCGGGGTCACAGCGAGGCGGGCAGCTCTGAGTCTCAGAACCCTTTTTCTTCTAAACTCATGTCTCCCTCAGAGACATAGCTCAGAAAGGAGGATGAGGCCGTGGTCTGGAACTGAGTCGGACACCCCAGTGGGCCTCAGTCTTCACACCGGGAGGGTGGGTCTTCCCAGGACCGAAGGGAATATGTTGACCAGCTCAGGAAGGAAGTACAAGTGCTGGCCCCAGCAGGCCCTCAAGAAGTTGGGGTGCCAGGCCTGGACACCTCTGAATCAGAGATGGGCCACCATTCTCAAGGTCAAGGCCAGAAAGAGCACCCGTAAGAAGAACCCACAGTCTGGATTCCATTTGGCCAATAACTTGCTGTGTGACTTCCCCATGGCCACGTCCTCTCCAGGCCTCCGGGTGGTTTGAGGTTTTCCCTGGCGTTTTTTTTTTGGTACCAGGAATCGAACTCAGGACCTTGCGCTTGTCAGGCAGGCACTTGTGCCACTGAGCTATATCTCCAGCCCTGGCTCTTTAATTTTAATTTGCAAAATGGGGGTTTGGTAGCAGCTCCCTTTCGTCCCTCTTCCTGGAGCTTCTCCCAAGCCTGTCACCAGGTAGCTGCAGTCCTCTGCCAGTGTCCTGTGGGCACCAGCTCGGCCTGCATGCTGGGCAGTGCTCACAGGCTCTGGAACAGATAAGTGGGCCCTGGTGCCACCCTGGAAGGCCCTGTCCACATCCTGGGCTGGGCAGGAGCCTTGGGTCCTCCAGACTCCGGGAGCGCAGCCTTTGCCCCTGGCCCTGTCTGGAAGCTAGGCTTAGTATTCCTGGAGGAAATGATCAGAAATCTCTGCTCTTCCCAGCTTTCCTAGGAAGTAACCACAGGACTCTGGGACAAGCCATGCACCCTGCCTTCCTCTCCAGCAAGACACATCGTACCTCCCCAGAAAAGGGCTACCTGGGCCTCACACCCTTCCTGGATCCTTGGATTCCTTAGGAAACCCACAGATGGGACCCTACCCCAGTCTTGCTGAAGGACGTGGAAGGGTCCCCTCTGCGCCAGCAGGGATCGGAGGCCACACGCTGTGAGCCTGGAGCTGGGCTTTGGTGCTGAAGACAGACTCTGGCCCAGGGACGACGTGGGGGCTGAGTCAGCCTTCACACTATGCACTTCCCCTGGTACTGCAGGCCAGTGCCCGAGGGAAGGCAGTGCCCACAAACTGCAGACAGGCTATGCTGCAGTCAGTCTGAGCTCAGGACTTCCACACATCCTCATGGAGGATGGGTGTGGATCATTCTTTATGGGTGAGTATTGAAGACAGCGACCTGGTGGCCTTACTACCTACACGAAAGCTAGGGTCTCACCGTTAGCTTCTGGTACTCTCCAGGGTGCCCTGCAAAGACTTCAGAGAGAGGAGATGCGGTTGTCAGGGTGCCACCTGCCACCAAGACCCGCCCCTCGTCCTACCACCCCCCACTCCAAGCCGTGTGCTATGGAGCACCTGTCTGCTCCCTGCTGCTGCAGGCTGTCGAGGTCTGGCTTTGAGGCTGCTGGCCGGATCCCAGACCACCCCTCACAGCAAGGGTCACCATGCTCCACCTGCTGATCCCCACAGCCAGCGCGCTTCCCCCAGTAGGAAGCAAGGAGAGCTGCCGAGTAGGCTGCAGATCTTGAGGTTTTAGGCAGACCAGCAAAAAAGAAAATCTCAGGCATGCCCACCCTGGGAACCATGAGATTCGTGAGCAGATTCACATTCCACCAACAGGCGTCGCCCTTGCACACTGAGCCAGCGGCCGGCACAGCATTCCCGCCAGGGGCAGTTCTCCGCGCTGCCTGGGCTTGGTCTCGGTTTCCTTGGGTGTGAAAGGAGCCTCCCGGTGAAGGAGACACAGGGGAGAGGCCTCCTTTTTTCTGGGTGCGAAGTTCTGCACAGGGCCTTGGGGCAGGCAATGCCAGGACACAACTCCAGGCCTGGGAGTGTGGACCCCTTGGCCTCCGGCTATTCACACCGCTGGCCCTCCTGGGGCCCGGTCTTCCCCCTAGTGTTTCACATCCAAAAGATACGCGCACTGTGTGTGTGCACTTGACCTTTCTGTGCCATTGCTTCTTATCACAAAAATCTCATGCATGCTCTTAAAAAACAATATGAACAAAGGAGAAAAGACTTCTTGTGTAATCTATGTACGTTACAAAAAAACTTAGAGAAAAGCGTAAAGGAAAAGAAACACTTTTTAAAAATCATGTCTGTTAATTTCAGTGTGCAGCCCAACTCTTTCTCTTCTATGTTACATGCACAGATGCAGAAATACATGTATGGATGTGGCAGTTCCATCTGGGGTTCAGTAGTTGTCTCAAAATCATGCCCCTGGCTAGGCGGCTCCCCCTGAGAAGGCAGGGCTGTCCCCAAACCGTCATCCACCCACCAGCACTGGAGCGTCCAGCAGGGAGCCAGCAGCCGTCAGCATTTACATTGGCAGGGAAAGGAAACACTGGTGGGCGTTTCTTATAAAGATAACATTATCCGAGAGAAAAGGAAGCCCACAGGTTTGCGAACATAAAAAAAAATCCCCAACTTGATCCACAGGGAAGGGACACACATTAACACTACACAGGCACACCTAACAGACTGGCCAAAGTCCAGAGGTTTGGTACTCAGGGGGCGCTGGGGGCAGGGAGGGTGGAGAGCTGTCCCTCACGTGTCACCCATGAGAGTTTAAATTGGTACAGTATGTGTGCAAGGGCAGCGAGACAGATGGGCGTGATGAAATGCACATACCATCTGACTCAGCAATTCCACGCCCAGGAATTTATCCTGCAGATATGTGCAGAAATGATTAATGCCAGGTTATAGATGGCAGCTCTGTTTGTAATAGTTCTTTTTTTTTTTTTTTTTTTTTTTTTTAAGGAAACAGACTAAATACCTAGTAGTAGGGCAAATTAAATGAATTATTTTACATCTATATGATGAGGCCTATGCAGCTGGTTTTTGGGGTTGTTTTGTTTTGAGTAATAGCCATGCATAGCTATGCACACTTATAATTCCACCTACTTAAGAGGCTGAGGCAGGAGAATCACACATTTGAAGCCATCCTGGGCAACAGAGCAAGACTCTATCTAAGAAAGAAAGGGAGGGAGGGAGGGTGGCAAAAAGGGAAAGAGACAGGGAAAGGAAGAAAGGGAAGGAAGGACAGAGGGAGAGAGAGAAAGATTGTTTTATAAATAATTTTTGCCAAAATAAAAAAAAAAAAATAGAGCCAGGCACAAGGACACACTTCTGTAATCCCAGCTACTCCAGAGGTGAAGCAGAAGTTTTGACATTTCAAGTGAGCTTGGTAGGTGGAAGGAAAGTCAAGTTCCAAAGAGGGTTTGAGATGGCCCTGATGTTAGACAGTCTTTTGGACACGTGTTAAGGAAGCACTGAAAAGAAATTACAGCCAGAGTTCTTTCAAAATGGATGTTAGAACACCACCCACTTCTACTTTCCTGGTTCCTTTTCCCTTGGATGAAGATCCAGAGGATTGTGTGGTCTCGAGGTCCTGCACGTGACCCCCACGTAGGCTCCCACTGCCGCCATCCATCCGAGTCTGGCGCGTTAGGCCGCTGGGCCGTCCTGATGCCCTGTCTCCGTCCATCTGGCTCACTGGCATCACCGCCTTGGCCTTCTTGCTGTTTCTTTACCAAGCAAGTGCGTTCCAGCCTGAGGTTTTCATGCTTGCTGCCCCTCAAACTTGCAGGACCACCCCATCCTTACTCCATTCCGACTTCAGCTCAGAAATCCCTGGCTCAGAAAGGCTTGCTGATTGGCCCAGCTACAGCTCCGGCCCCACCGCACCCACCCCTGCTTTTCTCGACCGACTCACCCTACTGCCCCTTCTCCCAGCACCACTGCGATGCCAGTGCAGTGGATCTAAGCCAGGCATTTTGCTCACTGCTGCAGTCCTGGTGCCAGGCATCTGTCGACTCACTGAACGCATTTCATCATAAACAGGATCTCGCTTGGACCTGTGAAGGTTTTGGATCTTTTTCCAAACATCAGTTAATTCACTCTTATTTCCATACTGCTAGTGGGAGCCAGAGGGCACTTGGTTGCAGCCCCAAGCTTGCGTTTCAGGAAAATTTTTTTCTCACCTCTTTTTGCATGGTGAACACAAAGCCAACCTGCGGCTGTCTTGGGAACATTTTCCCACCTTTCTACCCTGAGCCTTTGCAGAAGCCTGGCTCAGGTTTCAGGGTCGATGTCAGCCAGTCCTGCCTGCTGCCTTTTGCTTCCTGCCTGCGGCTGTAAGCTCAGAGCACAGAGACCCAGCACCCCAGCTCCTCCAGCTCCCCAGCCCTCTGTCCATCCACAGGCGGGCAAGATGCTGGCCTAAGGAGATGCTGAGTAAACAGAGAGAAATAAACATCTGTCTACTACGACCTGCACAGCACTCCCTCAGAGGACCTCTTGGTATGGAAAATAAAACACAGGTAAAATGCTGCTTTTAGAAGCCCCGTGTCATTCCCAGACCACCACCAAGTCATTCTGCTAACCCTCAGCTAGAACACCCTACCGCAGGGCGTCAGCCAGGACCAAGAAGTGTCACTGGAAGTCCTGTGCTCCCCAGGGAACGGGCTGTGCCTCAGTGCTAGCTCAGACCCCAATGCCTGGAATGAATAAGATGCAGGCAGAGGAGGGGTGGCACAGTCTGGCCATACAGGCTGGTCGCCCTCACCAATGTCACGCCTGGCCCACCTCTGCGCCGATGACCCTGGATCCCTATCACTGTCCAGGCGTGGCCTCCTTTAGGTGGGAAGGTGAAGGGCCAGATTACCTCTGCAACCTGAAGCTGAGTAGATGGGAGAGAGGAGC